GGGGCCTCCAAGGCGCTGGAGCCGGTTCGGCAGCGGGGGACGTTCGTGCTGTGCTCCCTGCTGCTGCTGAGCTCCTTGGCCCACGCCGCCCTGGCCGTGCTTTTCTACCAAGCCGTGGGGGCGCTGGCCCCTGCCATCCTGGGTGTCGCCGCCTTGGCCTTCCTGCTGGCCGAGGTGCTGCCCTTTGCCATCAGTTCCCGGTGGGGGCTGTCGCTGGCGCCGCGCGGGCTCTGGCTCACCCAGTTCTTCATGCTGCTGACGTTCCCCGTCTCGCTGCCGCTCAGCAGGGTGCTGGAGCTGGCCTTGCGGCACGACACCAGCACGTGCCTGCTGCGAGAGAAGATCCTGGACATGGTCCGGAACAGTGACCCCTACAATGAGTTTGTGCGGGAGGAGTTCAGCAAGGGTGCTCTGCGCAACAAGACTGTGGAGGACGTGCTGACCCCGCTGGATGAGTGTTTCATGCTGAACGCCAGCGCGGTGCTGGACTTCAACAACATGTCCATGATCATGCAGAGCGGCTATACCCGCATCCCTGTGTATGAGGACGAGCGCACCAACCTGGTGGACATGCTTTATGTCAAGGACCTGGCCTTGGTGGACCCTGATGACTGCACCCCTCTGAGCACCATCATCAAGTTTTACAACCATCCGCTTCACTTTGTCTTCAATGACACCAAGCTGGATGCTGTGTTGGAGGAGTTCAAGAGAGGTAAATACGTATCCTTATATTTTCACCACACGTATTGTGTATGGAGTAGATGGTTGCTTGTCCTGTTAAAAAAAAATGTTGGGAAGGATGCCAATCTGGATGCTGGTGAGCATCTTCCTATCAGGTATCACCTTCCAGTCAGGTGGTTTTCAGACTTTCTGAAAGTTTCTTTCGAAGCTTGTCTAGGGCTGTCCAGCAAGATGATCAGCGATGGTGAACAAACTTCCCTGGAAGATAGCTTGCCTAAATAGTTTGCTGCTTGCTACAGATCTTCGCCTCATCTCACAGAGCATTGAACTTCTGGTGCCTATTAGAAATCCTTTCAGTGAGATCCAGCGATGCCCTTCGTAATCTGTTCACACCTGCATTTGTTGCACGTGTGTGTATTCCATCTTTCTCTAAGAGCTCAAAATGGCTGGTGTGGTATTCTCTCTCCCCAGCCAATAATTTCATCCTCAGAATAGCTCTGTGAGGTTATGCTTAGAGTTAATGTCTGACCCCAAGTCACCCAGTGAACTTCATGACAGAGTGGGGATGTGAACTGACATCTCTCGGGTCCCAGTTCAGCACTAACTGCTCACATTTTCTGTTTCAAGCACATTCTTTGGGATGTTTTACAGCAGTCTGCGGTTCCATAGCAGGAACTGGGTTCCCTCCTCCTTTTTTCATTGAAAACAAGGAATTGAGGCAACTTTTTCCTGAAGTAACGAAAGTTATCTTTGCCTTGTCTTCCTTTAAAAAAAAATAACCATTTGGTTTCCTGGAAAAGACTATCCACGAGTTTGAATTCTCCAGAACTCCTCCTCAGGGAGTTAATGGGGAAGAAGGAAGAAACACTGGCCTAATTTTGAGACTGTCTTCCTTCTTCCCTGTCCCCCACTATTTGTAGCATCTTGTCTCATGAAGTAGACTATTTTATCCTGTTTACCATGGTCCAAGAATAGTATTATTTGGGTGTTTTGAAGTTAAAAGGTTTGCAAGGATGTATTGCAGTTTATTTTATTTAAAAGTTTTTAGCAGTAGGCTTGATGAATCACATTTGCCTCACTTTCAGAGGCATTTCTGCAGTTGCCTTGTACGGGTATCTTGCTTTGGGAACCCGGGAGAATGTGAATATCTCTAGCTCATGATGTAGGACAAGACCATCTCAATGATTCAGTGCATCTTTAGATGTGGAAGATCCTAGGTGCCGTTCCTGTCAGCCAGTAAAAGTTGGGAAGAGACTCCTCTCCTTAGTTGTAGTAGGAAGTGTGTGAATAAATAATTCCATGTACTTAAAGACAGCTTCTAATGTGAGTGAATTCTGATCCTGGTGCGTTAAGGGTTTATCAGTTGTTGCACGAGCTGAGTAAAATGATAAATTTTATTGGGCCAGCTAATTATCTGTGAACATTGCTAGCTGTTGAACTCTGTAACCTCTCTGTGTGCTCTTGAACTATGCGAGCCTGCAGCAGAAAGACATCATAAAAAGGCCCACAGGGTCCACCAACTTGCCATGCAGTTCAAACTCTTAAGCCAGTTTCTCCCCAGATTATACTTCAGCTCTCATGATCCCCAGATACCACAGCTAAGGAGAACATTCATGAAGGACATCAGGATGAGAAGGTTGTGCAAAACGGGAGATTGCTCCGTATTTTCTTCCTCAATAGGCATTTCCTGCATAAGTTGGCAAGAGGGAAGACGTTTATTGCTTTATATACATATTCCTTCATGTTATGGCCCCTTGCATCTTCCCAAGACATATGTGCAGATGTGATCGCCGTATGGGACCATATATGTCTGCTGACACGTGTTTTCTTCCAGGGAAATGCTTCTGCGTGTGGGAAGACCATGCTTGGTGGCTTAAAATGCTCCTGTGGGCCCAAAAAACGGGATGGGAGCAAAGAAAGAAAGTCAGCTATAAAGCCAGCTTTTTCAGCCACAAGGACTGCTTTTTCTCAGTCTGGCTGAGGACATAGTTGGTTAAATCCTGCACAAAAATAAACACCTCTGGACTGGTGCAGTTCTCAGGTCAGGGCTTATTTGATAGAGTATGTTTTTTTTCCCCATATCCATCATAATAATTGATTTTGCATAGAAAACTATTGTGTCAGGAAGAAAGATATCCTTGTACCCTTTGCTCTGATGTACCAGTTTCCTATGTGGAGGGGGTTTACCTTTATCAAGAGCATCAGCCCATCGTGTAAGCCCCCCACCTGTCATCAAGAGTGGCAGAATCTAGATTGCAAAATTTGCCTTTATTCTCTCCTGTATTTGTGGGTCCTTAAGGTGCAACAGGACTCTTTGTAGTTGTAAGTTGTCACAGTAAGAGAAGAGCCTAGCTTCCCCTTTACAAACCCAGATCCAGGTTTCTCCCCTGAGGGAGTGTGAAGCTGTGTTCATGGTGTGGAAGCAAGCCACCTTCTCTTCTGTTTCCTGGTCAATGTGGAAGATGCCCAGAATCAGACCTGTCTTTCATCTTACTGACTCTTAGGGTGAAACTGGGTAAAATACTGGTGCTATTTTTTTTCTTGAAGGAGGTGCCCCAACCCTAAGGCTCTACTACATTCAGAAGTAGATTAATGAGATGTTGCTGTTTTCTCAGATTGTATTTGGTTGTTTTAATTTTTATGATCTGATATTGGGCTCTAATACATTGCTCGTTCATTCATTCTTGAAGAAGTACCTCTGGAGGTTCATGCAATTTTTCCAAACACAATTATTAGTAATATGTAAGTCTGGTTTACACTGTGTGGTATATCATACCTTCCCATACCATTCCATCCTTAGAAATCATCCTTGCTTCCATCACATGCAAATACTGCTTCATGCACTGCCTTTGTTCTTCAAACTTCTCTCCCTTTTTTTTCTTTTAGGATCATATAATCTCCATCCAGCCATGACTTTCTCAGTCTTCCTAGAGATAGAGAGAGAGAGAGAGAGAGAGAGAGAGAGAGAGAGATTCCATTCAGTTTTTACTCATCTGCTGTCTGTGACCAAACCACCTCAAACTCTTTTTTTTTCATGCTGGTTACTCACTTCTGTATTCTATATTCAGTTTACTCTCTTTTGTATTCATTTCACCAGCTATTCAGTCTTGACCCTATCTCTTGTGGTTTTGCCACACACTCTTCTCAATACATTGTTTCTGATGCATTCCGATTACTTGTTTGTTTCTTCTGATGTGCCCACTCTCACTTCCATATAACAAAGTGAGTAGAAGCACGGTCTCTGTCAACACATTTTAACATTTCTCTGTCCATTTTCCCACCTTTAGTAAGCATTCTACCAAGATACATAAATCATCTACCTTAGCTTTTTGCCATTTATGTATAGCTTGCAATGGTTTACTCCATTTTCCCCATCAAACATAATTATTAGTAATTTTCAGCTTATCCTTATTGTATTATGCAATCTAACATTCAGAATTATTTGGGTTCTCAGCCAACAATGTGGCATCATCTGCATACAAAAATATGTTTGTTTTCATATTCCCGACCAACACACCTCTACGATTACCCCAAGCATTCCTTGAACACCACAAACATTCCATCAGTGGATAAAAACAATCAAGGTAATATTGCACATTCTTGTCTTACTCCTTGTTTAGTATTGAGTTACTCACCAAACATTCCACTTATTCTCATATATTCTTGACTTCCATCATATACTGCTCCTACCCCATTCAGTACAGGTAATTCTCACTTCACAACCATTTGTTTAATGACGGTTCAAACTTTTCAACCTGTTCTCACACGTATGACTGTTGCAAACTGTCACACCACCCTCTGCAAGTGATGTGATCGTGATTTGCAACCTTTTTTTACAATGGTTGTTAAGCAAATCATTGTGGTTATTAAGCGAATCGTGTGATCGTTAAGCGAATTCTGGCAAAAAGCATCCATTGGGGAAACTGGATTTGCTTAATGACCATGTGATTTGCTTCGTGACTGTTGTAAAAATGTTCGTAAAATCAGGTCTGATCATGTGGTGACTCGCTTAATGACCACCCTGCTTAATGACCAATTTTCCGGTCCCTGTTATGGTCGTTAAGTGAGGACTACCTGTAATTAACTTTAGGGTCTGTTTATTTATTTATTTATTTATTAAATTTGTATCCCGCCCATCTCCCCTTTTAAAACATTCTGTAATTCAAGGCTAATAGATGTAGTAAGATTTTCTTTCTCACATACAGCTACACTTTCCAAATGTTGCTCATTGACACATCTCACACTCTTTCCGTCAGAACTCTACAAAGTATCTTCTTGGGCAAATTTGCCAAACAAACCCCTCTGCCTTGTTTATATTTACTCTTGCTACTGTTCCCTTTTTATACAGGAAAAGTAACAACATTCTTCCATTCAGGCACACATGCAGCCTTCACACACGTTTTAAACAACTCACACAGCCATTCTAGAAAGAAACCACTTCCATATTTTAATATTTCACCAATTCTATTGTCTACACCTGCAGCCGTAACTTTTTTTGTTTCCACGCGGCTCTGCATTTTTCATCTCTTTTCATCTTAACCGTTCCTTGCTCTTTTTGAATACATTCTTTTGTGACTGTCTTTTTCTCTCTGATACACATTATTCAGTACCTTTCTCTAATCCTAATTTTTGCAGCAGTCTGTCTCTCGTAGACACCTTTTTCACATCCACAGCCTCTTTCACTTCATCACTCCTTCTTGTATCCTTTTTCATACCTCCCGTCGGTGTAACTCCAGACATGTCTGTGGCATTCTGTAACGTTTATTTTCATTCTGTTCCAAGTAGCCTCCACATCCTCTTTCCGTGTGTCCTTTCAATTAATTGCATTGGGACGTTATCTTTTAACACTTTTTGGACAAGACTTGTGGCTTCTCTTCCTGCAGCCATATGTCTTTTGCTTCCTTCCTTTCCTTCCATGTTCTTCCTTCCTTTTCATTTTGCTAAGACCCATTTTGACGCCATCAAAAATCATCTGTCCCTCCTTCAGGACTCCTCCACGCTTTTGTATCCCTCACTAATCTTCCTCCTTAT